CGCAAGGGCCCTCCCACTTTTTCATTACTATCATATGACTGGCATTACTCCAGCTTCCTTTATTCAGTGATTAAAAGTTATTAGTATTATCATGACAGTGATACCGCTATCAGGAAGCCAGTAACAATAGATTAATTTTAAAATCTCTGTTGTAAGGTTCATATTATTAATAAACATTTTAAACGTGAGCCGCTAACAAGGAATAAATACTAAACATGTAATTCCTGGAGCCTAGATAAACAGATAAATATGCAAGTTCCGTCTAGACAAGAATGTTAAACAGTTGCCTCCAGGTCAACAAACAACTGTTATTTAAATTACTTTGTTAGTGTCATCCTGCTTCTTTGGGGAAAATCCTGGCCCAACAGCAGCTAAGAGCTATTTTTATCACCAGTTCAACGGGGCCAAGTCTTTGCCCAATATGAGGGGAGTCAGTGAACAATAAGCTTAAGAGGAAGCAAGTGCAATGTCAGCTTTTTAAAAACCAAGGCTATGGTTGAGTTAAGGACAACACCAAGTTTTTAAAATAAGATTCTGGATTTCAGACAGATAAACAGTTCTAGGCCTTTGATGTACTGAGAATTCCCCCCAAGATACTGGCTAGAACTGTGTGAATAATTGATTTTTCAGCTGAGTGGCTGAACCAACCAAGCAAACAAATCCCAACTTGTTTGTTAATTAACATGTTTTTCTCCCCTAAAACTTGGGGAGAGGGGGGAGGCGGAAGTAAAAGTACAGTTTGAGATTGCCAAATTGTTGCATTCAACCTGAAACTCTCTCTTCCATTTCAAACGTTTTTCCAGATTTTAAAAGCACTCATAATGAAACTTGTGCTAGGAAGCAGGGGAAACTATAGAAACTCAAAGTAATTCCTGGCCTATCAAGCGCGCCGCTGCAGCCCACGATGGAGGGCATCCCTCAAGCAAGGTCGCCTGCACCACGGGCTTCTCGCTCGCTGAATTCAGAGAAACACCCTCCCTACCTGCAGACTTCCCAAGGGCACATTCCTGAGAATTGAACTTATGTTTCCCCACATACAAGGGCAGTGACTTAAACACAGTGCTGAAAAGCAGTGGAAAGGTGCTATCGCTCCTTTTCCTTCAATCCTTCCTTCAGTTTTCTTATGAGCCTGGCTTCGGGATCAAATGTTTCACTTGCAAAATGTCAAAATGAATTATGTAAATGTTTATTTTACTCTTAAAAAAATCTGTTAAATCCGTTTTTTAAAAAAATCCGAATTTCAAGAGTATCGGTCAAGAGTATTGGTCAAGGTCAAGAGTATTGGCTCCCCCAAAACATGTTTCAGTGTTATTTTCATTTGCTTTGAGACCACTTTGTCAAAAAAAAAAAAAAAGAAGCTATGTAGATTCATATGTTATTTTTAGGCTCAACAAAGACTAACTGGTACCATAATTTTCTCCAAAAAATTAAAAACAACCATTAAACAGCAACATTATAGTTAGTATTTGGAAACAGAATTGATTATAAACAGTGAACGAAACCAACCGCCCTAGTTTTATCATTCAAATTAATATAACGAAACTCTGGGTTGGTGAAAAGTTCTGGTCTGCCTACTCACATCTGTTGTCATATTAAAGATGCACAGTTTTGTATGTGTCACAGGCTCAACAATCTGCAATGATTTCGCATTAAATCATCAAACTACTAATTGGTGACATTTATTTAATCTTAAAGGTTTTAATTAATTCTTCCAAATGCTGCTAAGAGCCCGGTTCCCTGCATACTCTGCAAGGCAAATCCCATTAAAGGCTCCCGTTGACTGTAATGGGAGCCAGGCTGGTTCCATACGGGGACAGCTCCTGCAAGTGGCTAAGGTAAGGCCTGCAATGAGGATTTACAAGGGCATCATATTATATTTACAAGGCTTTATAATTCCCTATGAGCACAGCACTGGTTACGGCAGCTTCACAGCCTCTCACCAGAGTGGGGACTAACAGCATCGTTTGCTCGTGCACCATCATTTCTAGAAAGCAGCAATGGGACCGAGATCTTTCAACCTTTCTGAGGGCTAAGAAGCCTACTTAGCATTTCACACTATATGTGGTACATAATATTTACAGAAATTAAATAAATTAGCCTCACATAAGCCATCACCATTTGCCCACGAAGACTCACTGTGCCCAGTGAGACTGCCTACAGCATGAGAGGAGTTACGAAAAACAGCCCTGTAGCTCAGGCAAATGCAGCACCTCCATCAGCAACGCTTTGGGGTTTTTTTGTGGCCCTGTTTTCTTTCAGAATTTACAGTCAAAATAAAGATAATCTTTAAAATAAAAAATGAAAAGGGGATACAGGAGTGTCTGTTGCACTTTGAGCTGCATTATGCAATTGAATCAAGATTACATAACCCGAGTGTGATTACAGAAACGTGGCTCCCATTACACAGAGCCTGGCTATGATTACAGGGTGGCAATCCATCACAGACTACAAGTCTGTAACCGAGAAATTAAATTTATTATTATTATCTTTTAACATATTAAAGTGGAATGCACATCATGAGACTTTGAAATACGCATTTTATAACTATTTAACTACTCACTTACTGGCAGTATTTTTTTTCAGCATTTTTAGTTTTATTCCACAAGCACACGTCCATTCTCATTTTATAATTAACACCCTAGGCTTCTGTAAGGATGTTATTGAAACGCTTTTATCTAAAATCTGCTTATTAATTATGCACACATAAACATCCTTTGTTACCAGAAATTATTATTACTTTCTAGAAATCTCCTCAGTGGTTTAGGAAAGAAAAGTATCAGGTTATATAATGTGTAACTTCGTATTTATTATTAATCAAGTGATTTAATGTGTTTCTTTACTGAGTCCTTCTCAGTTAACCCTTTCATCTTTTTATATTCGGTACTGCAGAAGGAGATCCAATTGTTAAAAATGGTGAGAATTCAGCACCGTCCTTCTAAACCCTGTTTAAAATAATAAGAAATATTGCTTGTTATAAAAAGAGATGGATTAAGAAATACTGAGACTACTAGCTACAAAACTTTAATATAACTTGGATTCAAGGTAAATTAAGGCCCTTTTTTTTTCTGGTAGATGTTTTTTATATCCCAAGGTGACCTATCCTAGAGAACCTGACCTCTTCAGATGAAGTGCAGAAAAAAATATATTATCTAGTTAAAAAAGGAGGCAGTCGGCCTGAATCAAACACAGACAAAAAAAAAGGAGGAAAAGCCATTTATGAAAGAGTCCATTAAATAACCAAAATAAATATTTTGTGTCAGAAAAACTGAATCTTTACTTCTGCTCAGGCAAGCAGTTCCACAGAGGCCGAGAGGAGTAACCTTATTTTTTAGTCAAATAAGAAAACACAGTATTATCAGATAAAAGCTGGAGAAGTTGTTTTGCATCTTTTATGGACAGACACGGGGCCGTGCGTGTGTTGTGGCCACCGGGTTCAAGGGCACCCACGAAGCGAAGCAGAAGGGCAGCCTGCCACGGCCATGTGCACACTGCTGCGATAATGCCCAGAAAAGAAGGGCAGGCTGCAGGCTGCAGCTGAAATATTTACCCAGTTACTTATAGCACCCTATGAAACACTTCTGTTCTAAGCATATGCTGCAGGAGAGAAAGAAAAAAAAGGGTAATTTGCAGGAGAGGAAAAAAATGCATAAGATACCAATGTGTTTATCAGGGAGAAAACAGGCCTGTCGTTTGACGTTTTCTGCTGAGGGAATTGAGAGACGGCTCCAGAAAGCCGGCCTGGCAGGAATTTCTGACTGCTGCAAGCGAAGCAGGTATCATCCTCATTTATTTGCTCCTTGCGGGCGGTGAGATTTTTAAAGGGGCTCAACTTTGCCAGCAGCTGCGGCGAGAAGCGCGGGGCGCCCCTGGGCCGGTCCTTTGTGCGGAGCTGCACGCGGGTGCCGGGGGTCCCCCCTTCCCCGCCGGCAGGATTCGGAGGAGCGCGGGGCCCCGAACAAAGAGCAAGAGCCACGGCCCTGGTGCTGCATCCTTCGCCGCTGGCAGGGGCACTGGCCAGCCTGGCTCAGCGGCGAGTGAAGAGCAGGAGGCAGGGCCCTGGGCCCCCAAACCCAGCCAAAGCCGCAGGGACAAAGGGAGGATGCCTTGGAGGCACTTGCTCCTCACCCCTCCGAGCTGCCTCCCACTTCTGCCATGCTACCCAAGAGGGACCCCCCCAACGAGCACCACATGCATGTCCCTAC